AAGAATGAATCCCAAACAAACACGTTTGGGTGTAAATTCTACATGTGTACCCGTCTGGCTCTCTAGAGATATTAGGAACAATGTATGAATAGATTATGTAAACTATATAACACACAAAAATTGAAAGTCTAAAAAGAGTGAGAAAAAATAAATACAAATTGAAGTTTTAATATTTTCTCCTTATACTCCACTAGGTCCTCTTACAAAGCCCCTAAAGACTGTGGGATTCTCTCCAGAGGACTGAAATAAATACAACTTGACTCTCAAAAACGTGCCAGGACATCCCAGAAAGCAACTGCTTTTTGTTGCACGGGTGGAGCCCCCAGCAGGTTCTGCTGAGCCTTTAGGTGGATGCTTCCTTCCCACGCGAAGGTTTGAATCCTTAGAACACTGAGCGGGGCTCCCCGGACACCCTGCCACACTCCCAGCTGACATGTTAGGGCCCAGGTTCATTGTTTCCTGATCTACCGCAGTCACGGGACTCCCCAGGTCAATGCAGAACACAAGATGGTGCCTTCAGCCACTCTTACCTTGATAGATGTGAGCCTTAGGTGGATGCCTGCCTTCCCACGCGAAGGTTTGAGTCCTTAGAACACTGAGCGGGGCTCCCCGGACACCCTGCCACACTCCCAGCTGACATGTTAGGGTCCAGGTTCATTGCTTCCTGATCTACCGCAGTCAGGGGACTCCCCAGGTCAATGCAGAACACAAGACGGTGCCTTCAGCCACTCTTACCTTGATAGATGCTAATCAAAACCCATATTAAGAATGTCTTGTAGGACAGCGGTCGTCCCTGAAACGAGAGACAGGGAGCGATCAGAGCTTGTCAGCACCCCGCTCATCCAGGCTGGCATCGGCCTTCACACGCTCCTTTGTGAAAGCCCCGGAGCCTGCCTGCTCATCACCAAGTGGCCGACGCACATCGGAACGCACCAGCGTGATGCTGGAGGGGACTGACCCTGGATGAGAGTCTGTGTCTGCCTTTCAGTAAAACCCCTTGAAAACAGAACAACCCAATTATGCACACACGGGCACATGTGTACACACACACCACATGCACTGTTTGCACGTGTGTGCACAAGAACATTCTGGGACAGACACAGCTGCAGTTGCCAACAGGCTGCCAGGGGCTTTTCGGAGGTCGTTAGCGGGCATGTCTTCAACTCACGTATGACTGTGCTGGTTCATGTTCTAGAAAAGAATACAATCTCCCACACCTTCCCCAAATAAGAAAGCCACCACTTCACATGTGCTCCAATCAGATATAGAGTCGGTGTGAAATAAATGAATAATGCAGCCCAGCTAGTGGCAGCGGGATTAAGGCAGCTGGATCCCACAGGCCAACTGTGTGGTTCAGGACCTAGACCCAGAGGCATGGAAAACATGCTGGGCACATGTACACGTGTGCCCAAAATCCTGAGAGGAGACTGGAGGAGAAGGGATGACAGTGTGGCCATCCCCTCTGGGGGGGCTTTCTCACCCCTTCCCCATCTCTTGGGAGAGTGAACACATCCTATAGCAAAAAATATAGATAGATAGATAGATAGATAGATAGATAGATAGATAGATAGATAGATAGATACTAAAAAAAAGGAAATCCAAAGAGACAGAATAGGGAGGGAGGAAAATAAATAGGGAGAAGGAAAGAAGGGAGGGGAGGAGGGAGGGAAGGGGGTAAGGGAGGAAGGAAGACCGGAGGAGAGCAGCGCTCGTCGAACCTTGAGGAGATCCTTGTAGAGCTCGGGGTACAGCATGGCCACTTCCGACTTGACGTCCTTGTCCAGGACCAGAGAAAACACAGGGAACATGGTGTAGACGGTGGAGTACCTAGAAGAGCAAGCCGCACTCAGGCCCAGCCAGACAGGCCCGGCAATCTGCCCGAGCCTGATTCCCACTCGCTCCTCCGGCGACTGTGTCCTGAGCACCCACTATGTGCCAGGCCTAGCTTAAAGCGCTGGAGATTCGCCATGAAAAACAGAAAAGTGTGCCCTGGAGAGGAGCACTCTCGTGCTAGTCACTGAGCAAGTCGACTCAGTATGTGCTAGAAATAAGTGTTAAGGAGGAAAATACAATGGGGAGGGGCTGAGACCTGTGTGTCGAGGGTGGGGGACGCGACTGTCAAGTGCATGGCCAAGGAACGAGACGACACCGTGAGAGCCGAGGGGCGGCCAGGCCCCTATCAGGGAGGACACCCCAGGCAGAGGGAAAGCCAGTGTGAAGGCCCTGCATGGGATGTGGTCGCCACAGTTAAAGAACAGCGAGGAGGCCAGTGTGGCTGGGGCTGAGGGCGAGAGAGGAGGTGATGAGGATGCGGAGGAAGACGGGGCTGGATCCTGGAAGCCTATGAGGTGTACCGCCTAGAGAACCCCTGGCTGTATTCTGGCAAATTCTACTCCGCCAGGACCAACAAAGGACAGTCCATTATTTAAGTTAGAAGCAGGGAGAATTCCAGTGCCCACCCTTGAGCTCGCCTGGCGAAACTAAGAGTCCTTCCAAGTTCCCCAGCCAAGGGTGGATCCTGAGTGAGTCTGTCTAGAACGACCTCCACCTCCTCAGGGACATCCAGGACTGAGCACACCCCTGGAAAGAG